AAAGCAGGCTCCAGGCCCTGAGCTATCAGCACAGAGCCTGACGCAGGGCTCAAACCCATGAACCACAAGATCATGACCTGAGCTGAAGTTGGACGCTTAACCAACTGAGTCACCCAGGTGTCCTGAGGTTACAGAATTTTTTAAAAACCATTCCAAAAAGAGGGATTGTTTTATAAGGCAGGAACTGCATCCCTGGTGGCACTGCTAATTGTGTAGGTAAGGAAGGAAACATCAGTGATAGGAGCCCTTATGAAACCAGAATGGGTATGCGAATCAAAGGAAATCTGGTCACCCCAAGTCACCATATACGAATAAAGTTTGTCACTTAATAAGAAGAGGATGCCCTTGAGATGAAGGCTTTTTTAGCTGGGAAAGATATCCTCATCCTTTCCCTCATTTAGAGAATCTTCCTGTTAATAATAGTTGATTGAGAAAAATTCATCTAATTCAAACTTAAGGAAAAAATTCAATTGTATACATAATATTAGAAAAAGCAGGAATATCACATGTTGTTAATAGAAGAAAAAACATCAGGAAGATACCATTACAATGTGGAGAAAATTTGCAGCATTTTCAACAGTGATTTTGGAACCTACTTAAGCAATTGGGTCACAAAGCAGAACCAAGGGAACTCAAAAAAGAGATGGAAAGACAATAAAATAATGTGAAGCTGAATAGTGATACTACAGAAAGCACAGCAATACCATAAAAATGGAAAAAAAAAACCATAAAATGAAGAGAGAGTTCTAGTTTCTGGTCTGGGATGCAATGACTTTAGAAGTTGCCACTGCACCCTAACAAGTAAAAATCTGAACAAACTGAGAGAAACAGTTGTTACAGCCGTCAGTATGGTGAGGTCATAGAACAAATGGCTACACCAAAAATAGAAGAGATAAACAGGGAGAGATAGAAAAATCACAGTTTACCAGAGAACAGATCCACAAGAAGAAACCTCCATGGGAAGCTGTGTGGGGAAAAGAAATTTAAACTTTAACTGATGAATTTCTAGAGGTCGAGTCTGAACGAATACGAGAGTACAAAAGCCTCTAGGTAGACCCAGTTATGAGGAGGCTTCCACACTTTTTTGTGAGGTCAACTCCGGGAGATCTCTCAGGTCCTCACTGTGGATACTGGAGAACAATCCCTTTGTGCTTCTGGAAAGGGGAGGGAAAAGGAACCATTCTGAAATATGCCAGAGCAATCTTTTTCATAACAAGACCAGCCCTCAGGAGAAAAGTTTTTACCAGAGCCTTACCCACTGGAGTTTTATTGAACCCAGACTTCCCTGGGGAAAGGGAAATACCCAACTCCACCCCCCTTATAACTATCCTGTCCAGCCTACAGAGAAGAAAACACTGAGAAGCTCTAGTGAAGTTCATAGTCCAGGGGCATAGACTCACAAAAAGACTAAGACCTAATCATAGAACCATAGAAAGCTCCCACTCCCCTATTCCTTACTACCACATCACTAAAGGACTAGATACTGCAGTTTCTTTTACCCAGTACATTATATTTACCTTGCATAAAAAATGCAAGGAATGGGGCACTTGGGTGGCTCAGTGGTTAAGCATCAGACTCTTGAATTTGGCTCAGGTCGTGATCTCATGCTTTGTGAGTTAAAGCCCAACATCAGGCTCCATGCTGACAGTGTGGAACCTGCTTGGGATTCTCTCTCCCCGCCTCACTGCTCCTTCCCCACTTGTACACTCTCTCTCTCTATCAAAATAGAAGAATAAACTTAAAAAAAATTACCAGGAATACTAAAAGGCAAAAAAATAAAA